AAATCCAGGAAAAAAATATTTTTAAAGTGACCCATAGCACTGTATTTCAAGCCAAACTGTAGAACGCCTGCTCTGGCTCATAGTTCTTAGACTCACCTGTTTGTGTCATTCGCACACGGATTTGCAAGAGACACACAACTTGTGAGGTTCAAATGGCTTTCAAAGTGCACTCAACTCCTGGTAGTGATGCAAAGGCTATTCTTGTGAAGTGTATATGGAGAAAATCCCCAAAATCCAAGATTAAATTGACAGACAAAATGTTTCTATGAGAGCAGTACAAAGGGCTCCATTCCAGAATAACACAAACTCTGCATTATGGTATATTGTCTAGTCAATGTAAACCAGGCTGAGTTATACAGCAAGAACATTCATAAACTTCAACTGAATTAAAGCCATGTCCACACTTCACAATACTATGCAGGGCAGACCCCGCAGGAAGGACTTACACATCTCACCATTCTACAAGGAGCAGCCTGCGGAGACTTCAGGCCAGAACATATTTTATAAACTTTACACAATGACTTTTCCCAATCACAATATGTTCACCTTTCTTTACTATTCATTTTCATGTTTAATTGTGTGCTTTGATTCAGCCAATATTGCTTTGGCTAGAAAGAAACATTTTAAGTACAAAGTTCTGCTAAAGTCAAACCATTCCACAAATTTTTTAACGACTTCTAAATTTATCTCACTTGGTTTCTCTGATTATTTTAAAGGCTCTAAAATGGATGTGCATCATGAGCAGACCTTTTATTCCTGAGGGGGAAAAAAAGGTAATAATTGTGCAAAAGAGAGCATGTCAGTGCAATGATTAGCAAAGGAAAATAGGCCAAGTTCAAGAACATATGAAGGTAGATTGCAGCCTGCTTTGATAGAACACTTTTCATTCCATTTTTCCACTAATAATGAAAATTTGCCCTTCTAGAATTTCTTACCTTAAGGATAGGAACTAAAGCCAGTGTCTAGAATATCAATGAAGAGCCTTTTTGTTGTTGTTATTTTTCCATTAAGAGCCATTGACTTACGGAAACATGCATTGAGAGCTATAAATATGTTAAAATAAATTTATTTAAGTTGGGTGTGTAGAGCTTTTTAGACAAAAATTAGTATGAATAATTTTACTCATTGCCTTCAAAGTTAAGAATGGGGCATATAAAATTATTTCAGTAAAAGCCACAAACAATAGGTAAGCACAGCGGTGTGCCATGAGTGGTTTATAAATAGGAAGAGGGAAGAAAAGGGAGGCAGCAGATGAAAAACCAACTGTAGCAGGAGAGGAGGGAAGGTTTAGGAAAGGGGAGTTGAAATACAAAGTCGGAGAGCCAGACAAGAGCAAAAATAAACCCTACAGGCTGGTCAAGGAAGGTCTCTTTGAGAAGACGGCATTTGACCTGAGACCTGAATCTTAAGAAGGAACGTTCTCAGCAGACAACAGCAAATGCGAGGTCCTTGCAGCAGGAATGAGCGTGGCCTAGTCAAGAACAGGAAAACCCAAGTGGCTGGAGCCAGGGAGCCGAAAGATCATGAAGGAAACTGTCAGAGAGTCAGATGTAGACCTTTAAGTCCTGTGGGGCGGGGGAAGGGCTGACAGATTTTTATGATAAATGCAATAAAAATCCATTGGAAGATTTTAAGCAGAGGGCTGATGTGCTCTGCTATACATTTTTTAAAAGGTCTCTGGGGCCAGCCGGTGGCTTAGCAGTTAAGTGCGCACGCTCTGCTGCTGGCAGCCCAGGTTCGGATCCCGGGCGCGCACCGACGCACCGCTTCTCCGGCCATGCTGAGGCCGCGTCACACATACAGCAACTAGCAGGATGTGCAACTATGACATACAACTATCTACTGGGGCTTTGGGGAAAAAAAGGAGGAGGATTGGCAATAGATGTTA